ACAGGATAATCAACAATACCTCATAAAATATCAGGAATATTGCCAAAATTCAAATAAGCTTCTATTGAAAAATGCATAAATATACATAAAATACAAAGCTTTTAAAAAGAGAGATGTTTAAACAACTTTCTAGAGACAAAGAGAGAAAAACAGAAAAATGAAGTGACATTTTCCAAGGACCTACAAAAAACCATGAAGACTGCTGGCAGTCTAACCTATAAATGAAATCTTAAAAAGACATAATGTTACCCCTAATTATCTGGTAATCTGAACCTAGAAAACAATAGCGGCACAATTCAAAAAACAGGGGAGGCTGGGCATGGTGGTGCAAGCCTATAATCCCAGCACTCGGGAGGCTGAAGCAGGAGGATTGCTGTTGAGTTCGAGACCAGCCTGAGCTACATAGTGAGTTCCAGGTCAGTCTCAACTACATAGTAAGACCCTGTTTCAAAAAAAAAAAACAAACCAAAAAACAAAAAATAAACAACAACAACAAAAAAAGGTGGGAAATGTTACGAGACTCTTTGCTAAGAGCTAGACTTAGGTATATAGTAGATGATCCACAAATTCCTATTAAAATAATCTTCTGGGAGTGGGAGGACTAGTAAACTATAAATATCTCAAATCTAGACAAGATAAAATTTTCCATCTCAAAAAAAAGTCATAGTAATTAAATTCAATATCATTACTATACTTGTTTAAGCACTATAATGACAAAATCATTTAAGAGTTTTAATTCTTCCTGTTCTGCAATGTCATCTTATCAAGGGCCACATACTTGGTAAGAAAATGTTGAAATGATGTATAATCAACAAGGATGTCAAAGATAAATTCTTACAAATGCGAACCAAATACTTCCTTTCACTATAAACAAAATGACTGAGTCCACTTCTTGAAGAAATCAAGCTCTATTTATATTCATTCTCTTGAAATGGCACAGGCAACCTTAGAAGGATAAGTTTATAATAAATCCCTATATTTGGAAAACATTGTTGCTAAGCATCTTCTAACATTCAACAGAGTTTATATAACTCATGTCATGGCTACAAAATTAACATTTCATGTTCTCAAAAAAAAAGTGCAGTATGCTTCTCTATGCTGTTAATTTCAAACATTATAAATTCAGAGGGAATTAATAAAAGGCTGTGCAACTAATTAATTAGAAAGGCAGCCTAATCCCAGGAAGAATACAAACAGAGACATTAAGTGTCAGGATGTGTTACAGTCTAGCTTGTAAACAGCTTGTCCACTTGAGATAAAACATTTCAAAATATAGCCACTCTGCTTAAAAAGGTGAGCTGCAAAACATAAGGCCTTGGAACAAGTCATGAACTATCAAGCCATATTCTCACTCAAAAGTTAATTATAATGAAAATGTAGCATTTGAAAATAAGTTTCACACCTACCAACAACATTAAACCTTTATCTACTCATAATAGGAGACTTCAATCACTGAAAGCAACATTACTGAAGTTTTTTCCACCTTTCATATTCATTATAAGAGCAAAGTTTAAAAAGTATAGAAAATACGTAAAAATACTTGAATAAGATTGGAAAAGTTGAGCACATTACAGAAAATGCAGTATTATTACAGAAATTAAAGAACAGACTGAAAAAGCATGCAAAATATACATACATACAAAAGGGATTCTCTATTAATATTTCACTAACAATAACCATTTAATTACATAAACAATTAGGGAAACTACATTTTATGAAATTCTGCATTATTTTAACTCATGTGGTGTCGATTCACAACTTTTGTTAAAGGTGGAGCTTCCTCTACCTGATGGCAGTTCAGGAAGAAGGAAAACCACCAGGGAGAGAACACAAAAAACACACAAATCTACAAATTATAAGCAACAAAATGTTTGAAGAAAAACATGTCTGTATTTTAATTTTTACTCTTAACTATCAATTCTTAACTGTTTCCTTACTTGTGGCTTTTCTTTCAGAATCATTTCCCATTTTCAAGTTTTATTCAGATCATTACATACCTGGAAAACATCCTTGGAAGGTTATTTTCACCCTGAGTAAGCGAGTTATATGATAAAGTTTGAAATACTACATCACAATCACATAAAAACTCAGAATAAATTCAAGGTTATTAGAATTAGAGAATTACATAATCTATATTTAATCCAGTTATTTAAATCAGTTTCAGGGAATCTTTGAAAATTGAGTAGTTAAATCAGGAAAGGTGGCACACACCTGTAATTGTGCTCTGGGAAACTGAGGCAGAACTGCAAGTTTGTGTCTAGCCTGGGCAACTTAGTTACTCAGCCTCAAAACTGGGGATGAACTCAGTGTAAATACCTTGGAGTTTATCTTCAATACCCTCCCCAGAAAAGCAGATGACTGATCTAGATGAGTTATTCTCAAAGTGTAGTCCCTGGATCAGTGGTACTGACATCACCTGCAAGCTAATTGGAAATGAAAATTCTTGGGCCCTCCTGGGCCCAAGTGAATCTCACCATGCTTAAACTTAAACCAACCCAACTCAGAGGCTAATCCCTTTTCACCTCAAATGAATGAATTAGTAATATCATCTTAGATTTCACACACATTTTTCAGATCACTCTTTTCAATTCAGTTCAAGTCCAGCCTGAGAAACTTCATGACTTAGCAAGACGCTGTCTCTAAATAAAAATTTTTAAAAAGAGCTGGGGGTATATCTCAGTGCAAAGGGCTTGGGATCAATCCCCAGTAAAACTCACACGCAAACTGAGAGGTACTTTAAGTATCCCTAAATAACTGTAGATGGGATACAGTATTAAACATTCAATTTTTTTAATTGAAAACTAGAATAGTTCAATGTACCACATGGCATTTTTCTTCCTATGCTCAATATACACACACCATAAGGAATGGGATGCCAATGTATATTCAATAATTAGAATACATTTATGCTTGTTCTATAGTACTTAAGAGCATAATTGCATTTTAAATGTTTATAGTTTCAAAGTTGTTTTAATTTTCCATGTCACAGTTTTAGTCAAATTTATAATTCGCTCAAATTCAAGTCTAGTCAAAAATTATGAAAAGGTTTCAATGAAAAAAAAAAAAGCAGTGCACTTCACAATCATTATTAGTCTGCTTTATAACACACTTTCTAAAACCACAGGGAGAAAGTCCTGACTAATCACCTAAGTCATTCAAATAGGTAGAAGAGAAGAACAGGAAGGCCAGAAAGTATGAAATGTATGAAAATAACTAATGAGGCCAGAACAGGTTTGGTGAGAACCTTCAGTACTGCTTGCTATATTCTCCATTTCTTGCAAAGTCATTACACTATTTTGTACTGTATTTTATTTTGTTAACTGTTTTATACTGTACTATTAGTATAGTAGATCCTTTCATCAGACTATTTCTGGAGAGCAAAATCCCAAGAGCCTTCTGTAGTACATTAAAAAGTTTAAAAAAAAGGTCCAATAAAGGATGTTTAAGATTAAATCTTTGCCTAGATGCCATGTGTAAACCCAAAGCAATACTTACACAGTAATCCAGACTCTAACTATCACCTGAAAGAATGAAGGAAGCAAAGTTACTCACTGACAGATATGCTTCTCAGACCCTGAGAAATTCATTTCTATATCCAGGCCCACCACTCCCCATGAAGCCAGAAGCTGTGCAGAAACTAGGGAGAAAAGAACTTAGTACTAGACCATAATGTACTTAAAGGTTTATTTTGCCTAGGTAGTCTATGCAATCTAGTCTCTCCCCAGCTATTAGTCCTCTAATCTGCAAATTGTGGTAATGATCGAAGAAAACAAAAACAGTACAAGTGATTTTTTTTTCCAGTAAAAGTAATATATTAAAAATTCCTAAATATTTCTTTTGTGTTTCTTTTTCTACCTGTTTTTCATCTTCTAACCTCTTTCCATAAACGTATCAGACAAGATAAAAAGAATGAAAGAACTAAAAGGCTAACGGGAAAAGGACTAATGGAAAGCCTCTTAAATTAGGTAACTATAAGTCAATTATTTGAAGATAAAAGTTATTGTATTTCTGAACTGAAGCTCTCTAAACCAAATTTCTAGTTCAATATTTCAATTTTTTCATTACAAGTGCTAAACTTTCTTTGAAGATCCTTGTAAAAATATAAGATGAGTCAAAAACTGGAATAGAATGCCACAAATTGGGGTGAAAAAAAATCTCCAAATTACAACAGCTTTTAGAAATGTATGTCCATTCAAAGAGAAAAGAATAAATTTAAGAAACCTAAGACAAAGCAAAGATATTTAGTTATGTGCTCAGCCTTTAAGATAGATAGAAAATAAAAATGCCCTATCAGGACAAAAAAAAAAAAAGAAAGAAAAGAAAAAGATTATCAGATTTTTCCAATAAATTGTCACTTAATATATCAAACATTTCAGGAGCTTAAAAATACTGCTCAGGTTTTAATATATTTTCCTCAGGTGAAATTACTCTAAAAATATTGTGCAAATATTAGGTCTGAAGAGCTTCCATAGCTACTATACTGACACTATGGTGAAGTTCTTAAGTAACTGGTTAATAAAAGCCCTTAAACATTTTCAGAGTTAAAACATCACTTTCACATATTCCGCAACACAAAATTCTTGGTTTTCACTCAGTACTTTTTTAGAAATTCAATAAATACTAGTTTACTCCTAAAGAAAATTTGTGATCTTCCTGCAAACATTTCTCCCTCACAGAAAACTATAAATAAATTTTGTAATCATTAATACTGCCACTATACATCTGGTTTACATTTATGAACACTCATGTGCATATATTCACTCTCAGGAAAAAAATCTAGAAAAATATAATAGTGGTTATCTTTAGAAGACAGAAATAAGAGTGATTCTTATTTCTTTTTTATAATTTTCTGAACCATCTAAGTTTCTTTCAATAATGTATATTTTATGATTAGAAAAAGCTATTTCCATTAAGAAATGAGTGAAATAGAAATTATCGGCATCTAAATAAACCTGTCTTTACCTTTAGCACTACAGACTCATTATAGCCATTCCACTCACCTGCTTCATTACACAAAGCTTTCAAGTCTGCTCCAACATATCCATGAGCACTATTTGCCAGCTGTAGCAGTTCAGTTTTAGTGAGCAAATGGGGTATTCTTCGAAGAAGTTTCTGCAGAATATCTAGCCGGTCCTGAGCATTAGGAACACCAATCTCAATCTCTTTATCAAATCGTCCAGGTCTTCGAAGTGCAGCATCTAATGCTTGTGGGCGATTTGTGGCCCCAAGGACTAACACTTGTCCTTCAGTTGCTTCCTAACAAAATAAAATGAAAATAAAATACATACTATCCTAAAAGTTAAAAATAATAGGAGTCAGGTATGGTGGCAAACATAATCCCAGAACTCTGGGAGGCTGAGACAGGAGGATTCCAAGTTCCTGTTATGTCTGGGCAATATTTAGCAAATAAGCAAGACCCATCTAAAAATAAATAAATAAAAAATGGACTAGAGCAATAGCTCACTACAAAAACCTTAGGTTCAATCCAAAGTACACAAAAGAGAAAAAAAGAGGCAGGCTAACTAGACCCTGACCCTTGTACTTGTATTACATATCAATTAATTTATTATTTTACATGCAATATTTCTATTACACAATTTTAAAAGCTTAGCCCAAATGCCTCCTCTCCTAGAAAGTTGTCTAATACTTCTCCATCTATTAATGTTTTTCACTAGAATCTTAACTGTAATTACTATGAATAACAAAACTCTATAGCTATTTTTTCTTTTTCTTTTTTCATATTCCTTTTTTTTTCCTCTCTTTTCAGTACTGTGGAATGAACCCAAGCCTTGTATATGCTAGACCCCTTGCTCACTGTTTAACTGTTTAAAGTGGTCTTTTTACCTTATTTAGAAGCAAAAAGTATGACCTTTGTATTATTCGAATAAAACAAGACTACTTTAGGAATTTGTCTAGGAAGTTTTCCTCGTCTATTAACTGCTTTCTTTTATAAATGTAATAACTTTAATTTCCTGAAAACAAAAACAATACAACCAATATCCAATTATCAGCCACCCTTGAATAAATAAAAATGTTTTCTCTGAATGTGATATTAAGAACATATTATAAAGAACTATGATTATGATCATCCACCTGTAGTTATTACCCAGTATTTTATTCCAATGATCCAAAGTAATCTCACACAAACAAATATAACTAGAATGTGATTTACGTAAGAAAACGCAAACATAATCAATTATATTTAATATGCCAATAGAAAATGTAAGGACTAAATTTATAGATTGTCCCTTTGAAAGCACAAATACAAGCCTTTAACTATCTTCAGATTAAAACATCAGTGTCATGTGTTTCCAGTCTCACCCAAAGACAAGATGACCACTCCTTAGCAAGGTTTTCCCAATGGCAGAGAAAAAGACAGCAAATAGAGCTGGTGATTAAGATTCTACAACACTGAGCCTTCCAAGTGATTTCTTTCCCCACCTTCTACTACAATACAGCTTTTTGTATTTGCCTTCACAGTAAAATTATAATTATCCATAAACAATAATATGGTCTGCTTAATAGTTACTCCTTATAGACTAAATACCAAACATTTGCCTTTTCACATGTTCAGTTTCTACCAAAAGGCAGTAAAACCCTGTAACTTTTAATTATCCAGGTTTTTGTTTTTTTTTTTTTTTGTACCAGGGATCGAACTCAGGATCTTGGACTTGTAAGGTAGGCACTTGTGAATGACTGAACTAAATCCCCAGCCCAATTATCCAGTTTGTTTTTTTTTTTTTTAATGTGCAAATGCAAAGTATTAGATTAATTTCTAACATGCTATGATTCTAAGAAACTTAGTTATTTACAAGCTGGTCTAAGAAGTACATTTTTTTGTTGTTTTTGGGTTTTTGTTTTTTTTGGGGGGTTAACAGATGTCATGTCTTCATTTTTGTTTTATATTAGTTCTTCCTTTTACAATTAACATATATTCTTCATTAATATAAGACTATATGAGCCAGGCATGGTGCTGCACACCCGTAATACCAGTACTCAGAGAGGCTGAGGCAGGAGGATTGCCATGAGTTTGAGGCCAGCCTAGGCTATACAGTGAGTTCGAGGCACCTTGAACTACATGGGCAAGACCCTGTCTCAAAAGAACCTAAATAAATATATATAATTAATTAGTTAATTTTAAAAAAGAAAGACTATATGTCCTATCAGAAACTCTGGCAGTAAGAGTAAAAAGGCCTTTTCACTGTTGTACAAATACATTATCCTTTATTCTTTTCTTTAATTGCCTAGCACAAAGGCCTGGATAATTTTTACATGGATAATAATGCTTACACATGAAATTTCTTAATAAAACCTCCTAAAATTTAACAGACTCTTCTTTATTGATTTCTGTGTCAAGATTTTAAATTAGTACTACTTATCACAAAAGAAATCTGTTGTGGTAAATTATTTTATATGCTAAAAAAGTCAGTTATGTTGTCCTAGCAATTAGTAAGTACATGACTCTTACCTAGTTCCAATGTGGTATTTTCCCCTTATTCTAGAATATCTAAAAATTCAGATATGTTTAGTAGTATTTGTTGCTACATGTGTATTTCTAAGAAGCAAACCTTTCCCTCATAGAAACAATACTAGCATTATACTTACTGAACCAATGCCATCCATCAGTGTTAGGAGGGAAGCTACAACTCTTTTTTCCACTTCATTCTGAGCTCCTTCTCTTTTAGGGCAAAGTGCATCCAGCTCATCAATAAAAATAATTGATGGGTGCCTAAAAGCAAGTAAAATGAAACCACTAATTTACATTTAATTTTAAATTTTAATTTCAATTTTTAATTGAAAACATCAAATTCAGAATTCATTCAATATTACAGATAAAAGCATTAGAATGTTAAGCCAAAAACTTCACATGCATTCTAGCCTGAATGATTTAACTTTTAACCTTAGATTCTAATCTGTCTGCCCTCACTAAAAAGAACAGCAATGAGAAGAGTATACTGCTCCTGAGATGAAAAGTCTGTGCCCAGGCAAAACTCTCCCACTAATGTCCACTGACTTATGACAACTGGACTGACTCAGAAGCTGAGGCCAGAGGTGATGTTCCCTTAAAACGGACTTTAAGCCAAAAAGGATATAAAATAGAATTGTCTTTTTCTTTAACCTGTTTTAAAAAGTACTTTCAAAATGACCAATTTTGCTATGAAAAGATGTGCATTCTTTCACAGGAAACTCAACTACCACCAAAATAACAACAAAAACACACTGTACAATAATAAGGTATACCACAATTATTCAGTATTTGGACTATAAATTGCTAATTTAATCTATTACGTTGTGCAGAAAAGGCATTTAAAATAGCAGTTCTTTAATAAAAGAACAGTAAGTTATAAAATAGAAAAAATAGTAACAACATATAAACAATATGAGATTAAGTTAAAACCATATTCTAATACTCACTGTAATGCAACACAGTAGCCTAAACTCAGGAATAATAATTTTTTAAAGAATAAGACTATCCCTTGGAAGCAATCTATAATGTAACCAAGTTTCAAAAATAAAACTACTAAAGAGATTAAGCATATTAGATATACCTAGGTGCTCTAAAGTCATACATATAAATACTCAAGGACGTAATGTGACTTATCAAACAACTTTCAATTCTACTTTATGTAATTTAATAATTCATTTATCAAACATCTAAAACAAAATTAGAAATAGATTAAACAGATTTATCATGAAGTCTACAATTACTCAGAGCTATCTTTTAAACTATTCTACACTCTTGGTGAAATGCTACTATATCATTTTAAATAGCACAGCACTGACTATCAATTCTAAAACATCAAAAATAAAGAATACCGTAGAGTGGCATCAGCAAATATCTGACGTAACTTTGCTTCAGTCTCACCATAGAATCTATAACGAATAAAAAATATTAAGTACTTTTTCTTACTGTTTTTAAAATTTTGCCTATAAAAGCTAATCTGACATTTCAATTATTTTTAGAATACTTAGTATTACTTTCAAAAATTATTTTCCAAACAATTTTATACATATTAAAAAGCACATTACAAATATTCAAAGGTATGAAATATCAATTATATCATGCAGCCATTTTAAAAAGCCAGATTTGAGAAGTACATTTAATATATATTAAGTTTAAGCTATGCACCTACTTGCTTATAATTTCAGGACCATTAATTACAGAAACATAGGCTCCCACTTCATTGGCAATTGCCTTGGCAATCATTGTCTTTCCAGTACCTGGAGGGCCATAGAGTAACACTCCTCGAGGAGCTGGAATTCCTAAAAGACAAAGAACTCTGAATTCAATATAAAAAACACTGAACTCAGTATTACTAGGTTTCTTATAAACGTTGCCATACAACTTCAAACATGAGTTATAAATGTTCTACCCCAAACACTGATCTCCAAAAATAACATACTCTTGCTTAGTACTAGGTTTCTTCCAAATTTTGTTATACAATTTCAAACAACAGTTCTAAATGTAAATTTACCTTGCATCACAAAATAAAAAGTCAGATCTCTCACCAGAAAAATATAATACCCCAAATATCAATCCACAACAACATTTTCTTGCTCCATAGATCACATATCAAAGAAAATATGCTGGCAAAAAACCATACATTTAGGCAGGCGTGGTGGTGCATATTATAAACCCAGCTATGCAGGTGGCTGAGGCAGGAGGATCACAAGTTCAAGGCCAGCCTGGGAAACAGACAGACCCTATCTCATAAAAAAAAAAAGGGCTGGAGTTACAGTTTTCTCTTTCTTTATGGCTGAGCAGTATTCCACTTTATATAAAACACACACACACACACACACACACACACACACACACACACACACACACACACACACACACACACACACACCCTAGAAGAGATACCTACAGTGTTGCCACATCCAGCCTACACAGCACAGTTTAATGATTGGAAAATAAAATCCAAACATGAGGAGACAAAACAAGCCACCAATCACAATTTGCTTACAATTATCTTAGACACTATAAATGTAACTAGCAAAATATAAAAATGTTATATATGCAAAGATATAGGCAATGGATGGGGCAGCAATCATGCAGAGGAAGCCATGAGTTTCCTAGGAGTCTACTGACCCCTTAAGTACTTGCCTCAATGTATGCACCTTTGTTTCCTAACAAGTTTTAAGCAACCTATGTGAGTGTTTTATTTTAGTCATTATAACTGATCTAGCATGACGAGATACTTATTACAGACACAATACAAGCAACTGTTTAATATATGCTATTAGAAGAGACAGGGCTGTCACTAGCACAATACTATAACCCAGAGACCAAAGCATAAAAAAATGATTTCACTAGCATCTGCCAAAGCAAGTAACACTTACTAATTATCCAGAAAATAAGGACAGAAAAAGATGGTGCATACTCATTAGGTAAGTAGAACTCATCAAATGCTTTTTTTTTGGTTTGTTCAGTTTTTTTTTGAGGGTCCCACTTTGTAATTCAGGATGGCCTTGAACTATGTAACACAGGCTGGCCCCAAACTTGCAGCCATACTGCCTCAGCCTCCTGAGCACTGGGATTACAAGCATACAACCCCATACTAGGTTTTCCAAATGCATTTAAATTTGAATTTAACATTTCTAGATATAATAAAGATATCATACCATAACTCTTGAAAAGTTCAGGTTGTTTGAGAGGCAATTCTATCATTTCTCTAATTGCTTTCAACTGACTGTTTAAGCCTCCTATCATATCATAAGTTACTTTGAATTGGTTTTCTCGTCCTTTTGAATTTATATGAATCTTTCTAAGATTGATTCTTGTTGTTGAAGAAATAAAATAAAAAGTGTCAGTATTACACTTTGCTCCTGTTTTGGCAGATTTTAGCAATCTCTCTTCATCGAGTAGTTGCTTATTTCCTTCTCTGGGAGACTCAAGATTACATGTAAGAGCAGTGACTTCCTCTAGCTCAAGTCCATTGCCAGCCCCAGGACTCTGTGTAACATCCAACAAAATGTCACTGGCTTTATTTGTAACTCTGTCATCAACAGGTTTACAAGGAGTACTTCTTGATGCTGGACTCTGGGGCTCTTCCAGATCTAAATGGCTTAGCTGGGAGGATATATCCAAGCTACTGGTTTCCATGCTGGACTGTTCAGAGGCCATTCCTTGAGCAATATTAGAGTCACTCTGAGGCCTTCCCAATATCATGCCATCTGCTCCTTTCACTTGCAACACTTGTAATTTGCATAGTCGTCCATAGAAGGTACAATACAGAAAGTTGCCTGGTAAAACAATCTTGCCATCTAGAAAACAATTTATTAAACATACAAGTTAATGCCATTTTTATCAATTTAATATTTTAATAGCAACTTCCTTGCTATTAACAGAACTATCTGACTGAAGAGATTAAATCAAAGCTGGAGTATCGATAAAGTAACTATCATGAAAAATATAGGACCTACTATTCCCCCTATAACGTAGTACCAGATGGAGATACAAAAGGCGTTCTTTCAAATCTTCTATATTCAATAGATTTTACAGTCTCTCAGTTATATCAACAGATAGCCTGAACTCCACATTTGCGAAGAAGCCAAACTAAACACCACACCCAAACCAACATACCAACCTAATATTTCTCATGGAAAAAGCAAAACTGCAATGGTTAAAAGAGTTCTATTATTGACTTTGTCCAATGACAAGTGATATCCTCTCTTTAATACTCAACTGTTAGTCATTTTATTGGAAACTTTTTCAGAAGAATATGAATTCATTAAGAGCAATAGTCTCTTGACTATTTTGAACACAATTATTATGGTTATAAGAGCTCAAAGGCATTTTATTTGGTGTTGTCTTTCTGCTTAAAATTCTCACCTAGTTTTCTCAGAATACAACAAGTCAGTTCTTCTTCATTAATTTCCCGATCTTTGTCACTACACAAAGAGAAAAAGAAAAAAATCCACATTAAGTACGTAAGAAATTAAATGTGATATAAAATGACATGTACAGTGACACTTGGGTTTAGGAACTTAATTCTTCCCATGATTCTGGTTGCAAACTGAATTGGACAAGAACTGAATCAAATTCAGTGGTTTGGTTCAATGTTGACTTATGAGTAAATTTGATTTGGTTCTTTTCCAATTTGGTTTGCAACCAGAATTGTGGAAAGAATTAAGTTCGTGAAACCAGGTATCACTATATATTGTTATAATAAAGATTTACCAAAAAAAAAAAAAATCTGCAACCTGAAAATAGTTGATTTACACAATTCTGGAATGACTTACACTTTTCAGATACTTCTGACAGCCACAAATGTATCATTGACAATTTGACCTAAATTATAGGGTAATGAAATAATTACCTTTACTGGATCATGAAATCATTTGTCTCATTTGGCACTTTTTTATTAGACTAAAAAATGTCAGAGTACACTGCACATAGAAAAGGTAAGTGTGACTTTATAAAACATTAACTTATCATAAATAATATCTATATCCATGCATGGGGTACATACATACAATCACACACACATCAATGTACACGTGTGTATAGGAATACATATGTGAACATATGTACTGTATCTGTGGATATATACAAATCATAACTAAGAGTGTGTGGGTATATTAGTCAAATACATCTAAAAAACACTGCCTAATCACTCCCTTCCTAAATTTGTCTTACTTAGAGAAAGGCATTTATTCACAGCTGACTTTATTCCTTTCACGTAATCTACCTCTTCAAGGAAATTAAATCCTATATACTGTTACCTGGAAAAGTAGAATGAGGGAAAATGAGTAATGGTTGCAATCAAAATATATTTTGGAGAATGTGGAAAGCTGAGAAAAACTGAGACCCCTTTCTTCCTATTAAGGACTGTCTCGTAGGACAGCTGCTCACTCAAGTGCAGAAAGCAGGTATACCTAAACATCACTGCACTTCCTAAGAAGCCTGCTCTTTGTTTTCCAAACATGAGCATTTTTCTTCCTCTTGCCTGTGTACACAGCTCAAGAGGCTAACAGTTATCCAGCTCTGCTGGTAACCAATGGCAGATAGAGGAGGCTTATTAGCAAGCACACCTGATCAAAACCTATGCCTTGTTCTCTAATCACTTTATCCATATTAAAACAAATCCAGTCTATTCTCACGATGTTCAGATACTATATTGCAAATTTACCTACTCCTTAAATTTATTTGTACTCCAAAACTCAATACTTGCAGAGTACCTGCAGTGATTACTGGATATGTCAGAGTAGCAAAATATTTGGGTCATGCAACACCAACTGTCAGGTGAGGCAGAATGAGGTGACACTGCTTTCTTTCAGTTCTCACTCAAGGATGACTGTGGCAGAGACAGAAGGTGACAGTGTGGTACACTTCAAAAAGCTCTTAAGCTAGTCGGAGGGATCTGAATCCCATCTGTGGCAACTGTACTGGTGCAGACTTAGCCAAGTTCCTTTACACTGACACTTCTGACCTTCCTCTTCTCTTCTGTAATAAATAAGTCTTACCAGAAAGAGTGCTTTTTGTTTGGTTGGTCAGCACTAGGAATTAAACTTACAGTCTCACACGTACTAGGAAAACACTCTATGACTGAGCTACATTCCCAGATCCTTTTTTAAAAAATCCTATTTTGAGATAGACTCCTGCCAAGTTGCCCAGGTTGGCCTAGAATCTGCAATCTTTCTGATTAGCTCACACAGACACAAATACTGCACCTAGCCAGAATGGAAGTCTTAAGGATTTAAGATTACAATCTGTGTAAAATCTGTGCATATATAGGTACATACCACCACCCTCCAATATTGGTTCAGTTTCAAGTGTTCAAGATAACTTTTTTAATAGAAAACTTGATTTATTTAAGCTATTACAGAGACAAAGCAATTATCATTGCATATACTTTAAGGACTTCATCCTTGTTCTCTTGTTCTGTTATGGAAAACTAAGCTAAAAGGGTGGAAATTAAAGGATATAACCTACATAAAATAGCAAACTGGGATATGTTTAAGAATAGTAAAAGAAATCACCAGTTTCTCATTTAGTAAAAGAATGGATACATAAAAAGCTATCTCCACTAGAAGGAGCTCCAACATTATTAACAGAATTTCTCAGTTGTTGCAAAAGATTAAATTTTGATTTTCCTAAACAAAATTAATTTCATCCACATTCTACTACACTTAAAACAAAAATTTTAAGTAAGATTTTAAAAAGCAAGAACCCACTGAAAATATATACAGTCCTCTGTAATAGGCAATCATTATTCACCTAAGACTGAAATATAAGGCTAGTTACTTCCCCTCACTGAACACACTGAACATATTTCCTGATCTATAAAAAATGGCATAAATACGGATACCTTGCAGGGTATTAAACAATTAAATGGTAGAAGACAAAGGGTAAATGTATGTCTGTGCTCATTCACAAATGCATGTGTGTATCCAGTATGCAATACATACAACATAAATGGCCTTCTCTATTCTTCTCTGCTTTTTAATGCTCATTACACATTGTTATGATCTATATCTAAATATCCTCCCAGAGCCAAAGCCTAAAGGTGGGGATTTTGTAAGACTATTGGATTATGCGGGCAATGTTGCTGACTTGGTTTTAGGAGTTGAGTTCTGGTTGGAAGAGGCAGATCACTGTGACCAGGAAAGGCACATCTCTCTCCCCAGCTCCTCCTTTGACCTCTCTGCTTCCTAGATACCATGAGATGAGTAGTCTTCTTCCACCCAGGCCTTCCACTATTCCTCTCTGCCATGCAGTCCTGCCTTAGAGGTAGCAGAGTATAGTCTAAAACGTCTACAAACTGTGAGCCAAAATAAACCTCTCCTCCTATAAACTCTGAGTGATGGGCATTGTGTCTCAGTGATGAGAACAGTAAAATAAATTGTTTTTAAAAGGAATAAAAGAGCTGGGGACTTAGCTCAGTGCTGTCACCACCTGCCTTGCAATCACAAGTTCCTGAGTTCAATCCCCAGTGCTTAAAAAAAAAAAAAAAAAAAGAAATAAGAGGAATAAGTATGTTGAAATTAAAGCTTGGATCTAAAAAAGAGAAGAAAACATTTTAGACCTCAAGTTGATAATTAGAAAATGTTTTGTGATTCTTCCATATAACGTGAATACATTCCCAAGTTATTATTAAGATGATATTAAGTATTCAAAAGGTGGCTTTATAAAATGAATTGTGATCAGACTTATATTTGCAAACTAAGACAAAATTCTATTCAAGAAGATCTAAAAGCAGATATACATTTTATTGACAGGTAGGTTCAAACAAGGAGACTTTGGTGAAGGACTATTTAAAAAAATTATAATAATACACTTTTTTAAAGTAAGCTGAATGAGATGAACTCTGCAACTAGCTCTTTAACAGTCTTAATTTCTTATCTATTCATGAGCTACTCCTTTCTTTATAAGATAAACAGCCTTGACTACACTGCAAGCCAAAATGAAAATCATTGCTAAATACTCATCAATAACAATGATTCTCACCTAATATGACAAGGCATACTCTAATTACAAGACCACAAAGAGTCCTTAGTTCATTAATTATATTCATTAGCTTGCATTGTCTCATATAGTAGGCCAATAGCCATTCACCACATGTAGCTATCAAGAACTTACAGTATGACTGATCTGAGATATGCTCCAAGTGTAACACATACAATGGATTCTGAAGACTTAGTTTCAATAGAATGTGAAATATCTTAAGAAGTTTTTTCAATAATCATTGTAAAGTAAGATTTTTACAGATATTGGCTATATAAAATATACTAACTCACTTAACTTGTTTACTATTTAAAGTAGCTGTTAGAAAATGAAAAATACAAAAAAAAAAAAAAAAGAAAATGCAAACTACAGAGCATTTTTGCATGTTACATATGTGTACATATATGGCTTAGGTTTATGGCTCTCTTTGTATTTCTATTGGATAGCACTGAGCAGAGAGTCACCAAAGAAAAGAGCCAAACCTCAGTGTCAAGTCCATTTCCTGAGCCTGTAGCACAGCACCCACAAGAGGCTGCACCTGAATGGTATCACCAGCCCTCACACCGACATTCTTCTGTGCCATCTCACTCAGGCCAACCTTGCCTCCAGGAAACCCTGCCACTGGCCAGGCTGTATAAACCTGCCCAGACAGAAGAAATAAAAATGTTAGAAAATACTTCTTTTATTAATATATGTTTGCAATAGATAATTTTGTTCTTCTTGGGGAACTGGTACCGCCCCATCAATACTCATAGAATACCATCAATTTATAAAGAACAACAAGCACAGCTGAACACTTGAATATACAAAGCAGTCCTTACCTCAAAGCATTATATATATATATACACACACATATACATATACATATAAAAAAAAACACAAATTAATGCAGCCTGGAACTTAAAACTACATCCAGGAAGTAGTGAGAGACAAAGCACAAGAGTTTTGTTAAAACCTGGATCTTAAGAGATTTAAATGTTTAGAACGAAGAACAAAGATTTCTGGCTCGAGCTCACACATTTAGTTCTCTCTTCATATATATATACACACACATATACATATACATATAAAAAAAAACACAAATTAATGCAGCCTGGAACTTAAAACTACATCCAGGAAGTAGTGAGAGACAAAGCACAAGAGTTTTGTTAAAACCTGGATCTTAAGAGATTTAAATGTTTAGAACGAAGAACAAAGATTTCTGGCTCGAGCTCACACATTTAGTTCTCTCTTCCACAAGTCAAAGTTTAATACAAGCCTAATGAAAAGAATGGGCAGGTTGTCATCAGAGGTGTCATCAGCAAACAAGCAATTTCATAAAAATGTCCACAAGACCCCCTGTGGATGAAAGAAGCAAAAGAAGAAACCATGGGACAGAGGCTAGTAGCAGGGGAGAAGACCAAACTACTGAAAATCCAGGAAAGTTTCTGGTCATAGAGACTCAAGTATAATAAATGGCAACTAAAGAAATACCTCTTAAGATAGGGAGAGTAATGAGATAACTTCTGTAAAGAACTGGTTCCTTTCTCACTCCAAAATAACATTCTGCCCAGAAATATAGCAGACTAGGAGAAACAGAGCCCAAAAGATATATGTCTCATTCCCTCCCTAGAGTAAAGGTCTTTCTCTACATGGGTTACTATTTTTAGCTTAGCTGTAGGCATCAAAAGTTGGGAGAGTCTATGTACATGTGAATGTTTTAAATTCATTTCATTAAATCCTCCTTGCATTGATTGAATCATCTCAGGTATTTCTAAACTAAGAAAATGAAAAGAAAAGAAATGACTCTTACCTCTTGCTTTCCATTCAAGCTGGTAAGCAGCACTGGTCGACCTATACATATATTTGCAGACTTCATAGTGTTGAGTCCAAGATGAACAAGGGAATTCTGGAATGTTTTAGGAACTTTGGCATCTACTATGAAGGAAGAGAAAGTTTTGTACTATTTTGTAAATGAAATTAAGACATTTTTTCCTTTGGAGAAAATGAAAATCTTCTATCCATATATCCATATGAGTGTATTCTGCATACCCTGGAGAAACCACTGACTGCTCCAACCCTACTTCTAACAAATTTAAATCCAAAACCTTCTGTATGTCTATGGACAAAATGACTGTTAACTAAGAAGTCTCTCATTTCATTAAGAACCAATTATACTTGCAATTCAGTATCTCTGAGCTTCTTGTACTACAGATTTTGAGTCAGCCACCTGTATTCAAAGTCTTCAGTTGGGAACTGGAACACCTATCTGGCTCTCTAGAAGAATGATTGAGAATCTGTGGCACACATGCTACAGTGGGCTGTATTACTGAAAACTCCAAAAGATTAGCCATCACTGCTCCACTTGTATTTCCACTTGAGACCTACTACTCCAGTACTTATAACCACAGCCCTAATTACCTCCATACCTAACAATGGAGATCATGTTAAACTCCCATTCATTGGCCTCCTTTTCCAGTATATCATCATTGTACTCTCTGCTTGCAGCATCCAAATCCATGTAACTATCCAAAAAAAATTCCCTTATCATTCCTCCAGTACTTTCAAAATATTATTTCAACATCTACTTTCTCCATTAGCTACCTTTACATTTATTAAGAATCTTGTTAGATCAACCTTAAAGATAATTTCAAACAACCACCTGCTCTTCGTTTATTCATCAGCAAATATGTACTATGTGCCTACTATACTGTGGGCTCTGTAATGGGCAATTTTGTTCACATATCCTTAGCCTAACGGACTTTATAATGTAGTAAGATAAGAGAATTATCCAACTATCACTGAATAACTATATAATTTCAAACTAAGATAAATGAAAGAATGACTGAGAATGCAAGTAGAACCTATGTGAGACCCAGGCTAATTTGGAAGAATCAAAAAATGCATCCTCTAGAGAACAGGCAGCAATGCTAAAAGAGTAGTTGTAGAAGGAAGACCAAAACAATTAGGGCAGTGGACTATATCAAAATGCTGACCATTACCCTGACAGCAATGGGAATGCATTGAGGGGTAAAAAGCAGTGCCATGACAGGATCATTTTAAAATATCATCTAGCTCAAAGTGGAAAAGAAACAAGAAAGGGAGCAAATTGGAAGCAGGAATATCAGTTCAAAAGGCTAATGTAGCAAACTATGTGAGATATGAGACTGAGGTGAAAACAACAGCATACGAGATACATGTCTGAGACCGAGGTGGAAACAACAGGAATGGTGTGAAGAGGAATATGGAAAACATTTAAGAGATAAACAGAACTGAGTACTAGCAAACTGAATAGAGCTAATGCGTGATTTATTGGAGGGAATATAGGTTCATGGAGTCAGTCTTGAAGTACTTCTGAGAAATTCCAGAGACAAGCTATTGAACAATGCTATTCAGAAAATGTTCTACAAAATATTTATTGGTTCAAATAAGATAAAGTGCAAAAAATGAAAATAAGCATTTAGAAGATTTCACTGCTATTGAGAAAATAATTTTAAATTTTGGAATCTAGTAATTTTCATTTTGCTTTTGTAACTTTTTTTTCTGGTATTGCATTTTTATTTTATTTTGAAGAAATGCTTCAAAATAAATTCTGTAAATTCTAAAACCTTCACCACAGAGTTGGAAGAATCACTGGTCCAAAAGACAACTACATCAAGGCTCAAGAACAGTGGAAGCTACAAAAATAAATCTGAAAATGAAGAGGATATAGATGGGAAACTCTCGGCATTTGATGAATTTGACAAAGAAAAAAGATTTAAAGATTTAGAGAAAAACAGGATTTAGGATAACACCTGAAAAAACTTCAACATTTAATGATCAGGTGGAAGAAGATAAGGCTACAAAGGAAACAGAGAACATTCAACAAGCCTGGCAAACAACTAGGAAAGTCTGATGACACATAAAACAAGAAATGAAATGTTTAAAAAGAACTGACTGTCTGACAAGTGAGGTAGGGTGGCCCCACATTTGCAATCCCAATGCTCTGGGATGCTGTGGTAGAAGGACCCAAGTTCAAGCCCAGCCTGAGCAACTTACTGATTTTTAGGGTTACCCTGTCTCAAAATAAAAACTGTTGAGAATATAGTTTAGTGCAGAAGCCTTGGGTTCAATCCCCAGTACAAAAAAATAAGTAACAATGATGAAAAAGAAAAGAAATTGCAGACAATGCCAAACACTGCTGAGGCTAAGTAAGGTAAATGATGAAAAAATCATGGAGATGATGAGGATATGACATGATAGTTTCCATGGAATGAAGAGGAGGTCTAATATTAGAATTAAATATAGTTTCTGTTCTTAGCATCATCTGGGGCATGTCATTCACTTTTCTGAGTCTGTAAAATGGACAGAACTAGTCCAGAACGCAAAAGTGCACTCCTGTAATCCCTACTACTTGGGAGGCTGAGTAATGAAGATGGCAAGTTCAAGGATAGCCTGGGCAACTCGGTGAAACCCTTTCAAAGGACGGAGATGTGGCCCAGTGATACAGCAAGCCTACTACAAGACACATAAACAAAAAAGACCTATAACTATAGAGTACTGGCAGGTCACAGCTTCTGTGAAAACTAAATGAAAGATGTCTATGACACAGCTAGGCTAAACTAGTGTACAATTAATAGCCTTATTAATTCACAGAACCTGTACAACAGCTGAAGAAATTTTTTTTTCACTATTAAAAGCATAATGTCTCTTAGGAAGGACGGATTCACATTCTTATGGTAATTTTTTACGTTAGCTATGAACAATTTTGCACAGGTAGCTGTGGTATTCGTAGTAAATGAGACAAAGCTCATTTTAAGTGCAACATAACAATTTTAAACAATCTTTTTAAAAAGAAAACTTGATAAAACCATTTCTGCCTAACTTTCCCAGTGGAGCCGGAGTTACACATAAAGACGTCTTTTAAAAACCTCAGTTTTCTGCTCTTCCCCGCCGATTTTTCCAAAGCCCGGGCTCCTCAGAGCTGCGACGCCAGCCTCCCACCCCCTCAGACAGCGCCCCCTAAGAACTCTTTACCCTTTTCTAGGAAATTGGTCACCACTAGAGTCCCAGCTGCCGCCGAGTCTGGGGCCCCAGCAGGAGAGGAAGCCGCAGAGGACAAGGGCGAACCATTTTCCACGCTTTGGTTCAGCCGCTTCCGATTCTTCTTGGAAGACATGACCCGACGGCAGACCGAGCGTAGCAGAGAGCAAGCGAAGTAAAAACGAAGCCGGCTCAACAAGGGCGAGCGCGCGTGTCTCTGTGTGTCAAAGGGAGAAAACTTCCGGGGTACAGGTCAGGGAGGCTCCGCCCCGGGGCCATAATCTTCCGAGTGGGGCGCAATAGCGTGGGTCGGGGATTAGAGTAGACCCGAACGTCTTCAGAGCCCACGGTCTTGAAAGCGGTTACATAGGTTTTTCACTTCTGTAAAAGACCATGGATTTGGCATATGGAACCTCTACTTAGATTGTGACTCTCTGAAAGACTAGACCTTCGGACACTTCCGCCTGCCTGTCTCATCCCTGAACAAACTTATGTTGATTGAAACTAGAAAATAAAACAAACAGTATCACCTTGACTTCTTAGAACCGGGCCTGGACAGGACTTCGTGTAGCCTCTGAAACGTAGGAACCCCAGCTCAACGCTGAGACGGAGTTGGGGGCGCTCTTCCAAAGTTTACGGTACGACCCTGCTGCGGAATGCGCGGGCGTGGCTGGGGGCGGGGCGAGCGAGGAGA